ATGGTACTTTAAAGCATAAAATCAAGATAAGGTCCCTGCCCACTGGAACTTCCAATGTAAATTAATTAGACCTTGCAGTGACAGAAGGGAAGAAGGCAGCAGATCCATAAGATGTGTAATAAGATAAAGTTTCCTGTGAAACATCTGCATAATTCTCACTAAATTACTTCTTGCTATTGGCAGCTTTTGAAGAGCAGCAAAGCTTCCTTTGAGCTTCAGATTACAAATGAACGCTTGAAGAGGCCATCTCTGTCTTTGACAAAGACGGGTATTTCCGCTGAAAAATCTTAAAATACTGAAGAAATGCTCCTGCACGGATTCATGTTATAGCTAATACACCTGCAAGGCTGGCTCTGACCCAGCACACTCCTGTCTGAGATGCAGTTGTTCTGCTTTCCCATGCTAAGCTTTTAAAAAGTTCCCTCCAATACCAAAGTGCCTTGTACTTTTCCTGTGCTTATCTTTAGATGTCCTGTGTATTTATGGGTGAACCTTCAACACTTTCTGTTTGTTTGAGTTGTTTTTTTCCTCTCTGCTTAGCCTTCCCCTCTTCATTTTGCTATTGCTTTCTGACCAAATCCCATAACAAAGAATTGCATCAGTATTTCATCTCTTCATCCTTACTTAAGTGCCTTTGATCTGTTGCCTTATAAGTGTTATTTATTTCCTTTTACTCCAGATGAGGGTAAAAGATCCAGGAATAGAACAGCAGAGATTCTCTCTTTCATAGAAGGATCATGTTGTTCTCTCTTTCTTTTCTTTGTACTTCCAGAAATTGGTTACTTTGTTGTAGACCCTGCCAACCTTTCCGATTCAGTCCTTACGGTGAGCACTTACCTTGCTTCAATCTGGTTATTTTATTATATGGATATGTGGGTATTTTGTTGTAAAGATACCACAAACCATTAACTGGATGCTGAAAAACATCGTTACAACACAGAAGAGAGTCTTGGTGATGTTGTTCCCCCTTACTGCCCTGGTGCTGCAGTGAAGTCCACAAGGGATGGATCCGTATGCCTCCATAAATCTTCTGTTTCACCACAAGCCATGGAGAAGCAAAGTTCCTTCCCTCCCATGAACAGACGCAGTTTATTTAGGAGCAGGGCCTTTTCTTTGCTACTAGCCAATTGCCCGTCAGGAATGACGGGGGTAGGCGGGCAGGAACGGAGAACTACCGCCCCCCACCCCGCACCGCTGCCACCTCCCAGGAGCAGAGGAGGGAGAGGAGAAAGCTTGCCCTGCTGTCCCCTCCGTTCCCTCTCGGCCAGCACCTTATGCCACCACTGCCACCTCCTCCAGGGAGCAGGGGCATCCCCCCTAGCCTGGCCCTCCTGCCCCCCCCACTCCATCCCCACTGTCATGGCTGTGCTCTGCCATGCCGCTGCCACGACCTCGTGTCTGGAACACTCCTAGAGCACTCTGATTGGTTGTTTCAGTCAGCATTGTGATTGGCTGCCAAGACCAGCCAATTAGAGTGTAAATAAAGCATTACAGACAGACAGACAGACCAAGGTTTTAATTATATCGAATGTTGATTTGTGATAAGTGGAAGAACATGGGCCTTTACTCCATGTTCCCTTTGCATTGTACGAGGAAAGAGGTACGGATAGTTTCTTAAGAATAAAGCAGTGGGGAGAATTTCATGATGGAACTCAGCCGAAAGGTTTCTGCTTGCTTTCATGTTAATAGATTCAATTCCCCCCTATAACGCTAATCTTTAAACTAAAGACTTTCATCATGTCATGCAACTCTTATTTCACTTCTGAATTATAACACCAAGGATAGCGTTGACGATGCTCTTCATTTCGATGGTGTCTTACAACAGTTAACAATCTCACGTGTGCACCAAGTGAATTATTTCATGCCAATTCTTTTCAATTTAGGGCTTTACTAATATCTTGTGTGAAAGGCATTTGGTTTGTGGGGGTGTCTTTCCCTTGTACTCGGGGCTTTTTGGACTTTCAAGGTTGCTCTTTTTACTATTTAAACACATGAACTACAGAAGGATGCTTCAATCCTAATTATAATTGAAAAAGTTCTGGCCCTCTGGAAGATATTGAAAGAGTTATTTTAGTCTTTTCTTAACCACCATTTATTCTCAACACTTTTTGATTACCACGTTTTGGGTTTTTTTTAAAAACCTTAAACAAATGGGTCAGTTAATTTCACATAGCTAGCTAGTACGCTGCACTGAGCGGGTGTTAATACAAGATGGCACTTGCTACTGCTACAACGTATTAAAAGCGATGGCAGTCTAGGGCACCTAGATCTTGCCAAACTCGAGGCTTCGATGCTATTATAATATGCTCTAAGTAATTTCCCTGACTTTCAAGTGTCTTTAGTAAATGACTTATCACTTCACAAGGAAGCAAATTTATAAAAACCCTATAAAAAAACCCCTGAGATATAATTATCCCCAGAAATACTGTCCTCCTAACAACACTCTTCACACATATGCGTGTACTTTCCTGCTAAAATTACTGGAACTAGAATAAAACTTCATCTTCAGGAAAACAAAAAGAATACAGATTAGACCCAAGCGTTTAATGACAGCTACTTTGAAAACTCTAGCTGTTGTAGATCAAATAGCAATGATAGTGTAAAGATGGTATAATTGATTTGTTATAACAAGAGATGGGGATGAACTGAACCACCCAATTCAGTCTCTCTCAGCTGTTTAACCTGGGAAAGTTCAGATCTTGGTCTTGCCACAAGTTTCACAGATTTGACCTTCTCTGATTAAAAATGGCATGTATGGCACATAATGAGATTGACAGTATATAATGTCTGGTTTGAACTCTGAGCTGTGGCCCTGTTTCACTGAATGTCCGAAGTGCATTTCTTCTAACGGTTTAGAAAATATCTGAATTACAGATTGAGGATGCCTATACATGTGCTCCGACCTGTTCTAATTATAGTGCGTCGGAGCAGACTTAATTAATTGAGTCTAATTAGAATGCTCTTGTGTGCTGCAGTGTCACATGTATCAGCGTCCCGCATTTCAAAATGACAGAAGGGGCTTTAACTAAAATTAATTGAACAAGATTTAGCTAAAGCACCCCCACAGCCATTTTGAAATGCAGGACACTGAATACACATGACGCTTCCCAGGAGTTTCTCTAATTAAAACACCCGCCCAACCCCAGAGCACATGTATAGACACCCATCTATGCAATGCTTTCAGTATGAAGGATCAATGGGAACTGAAGGGCTAGGCCCCATGCTGCAGAGCTGAAGCCTTGTAACCAATCAGAGATCCAGGGATTTGGGGTGGGATGGGGTGGGAAAGACAGTGGCATGGCATTTAGTATGTGCCATTATGTTCAAGGAGAGGATATGTTGGGGTTGCTGCTGGATTCTGAAATTAAGCCCCTTTATCCCTGTTTAGTTACTTATTCACAGTTTTCTTATTTTGGCTTTGTGATGGATGGGATATTAGCGGTGACTTTAATGCAGGGGCGGGCAATTATTTGGGGCAGAGGACCGCTTACTGAGTTTCAGAAAGCTATTGAGGGCCGCATGACAGGCAGCCCAGGGCAGATGAATATTAATTTTCTACATTTTTAGGGTCCCCACGGGCCGGATACAATGACCTGGTGGGCCGCATCTGGCCCCCGGGCCACATTTTGCCCGCCCCTGCTTTAATGCATAAAGATCCAGTGGGTATTTTTGGACGGTTCCTGTAATAAATACGCACTAGATGTGTATGTACTTCCCTGCATGTTATTTTAATTACTCCCTGCTCCTGAGTTTAATTACCCACTGCTCTGTCTGTAGATAGTGGCTTTTAATACAGGCAGAAATTGATATTTTATTAGAGTCTCCAAGCATCTTTAATAAATGCTACATCATTGGCACACAATGCAAAGTTTTATGATACTGTTATTCCTACCAAATTATGAAATGAATGATACATATACCTCTCTCTAAGCTTGAGTAGGCTAGTGATTAACTGAAAATATTTTCTGAGTGATTTGTTACATTAAAGAGCAGTAAAATTACTAATACCAATAAGTATATTATAGTTAAACTCTATATATTATTTAAACAGTTTGGTTACTGCTAACATGATTTATAAATTCAATATAAAAAGCTCAGATATTTCACTGGTTATATTATTAGTCTCTTGATAAAAGTTCCTTGCTTTTCTCCCATCTCAAGGGAATTTAATTTAAATATGAATAATGAAAAAAAAACCCACCCTATTTCCCAAAATTTAGACTAATAGTGCCTTTTAAGGTGCAAAAACCTTGGATTGAATTGTGGAGTTAGCATAAAAGAATGAAAAGATAACAAATTGTCTTATAATTTGGCACGCAATGAACTGCTGCATACATTTGGCACCACATTCATGTTATGAATGTTAGATGTTGAGCTGAACAGAAATATGTTTATAAAGACACTAGCAATTCCTAATTAGTAAAGGAAAATATATTGTCCAACCTCTGAAGCCAGAAAAGTAGATTTGTATTTTTCTGCTACAGATTTTGGATGCAATAAAGGAGGATTTAAGGGTAGGTGCAGCGGTGGTGGAAAACTAGGTTTGTGACACTAAATATCTGAAGCGTGGGGATTTTTTTCTCGGATCCAAGGGACTAGTTCAGGCGTGTCTTTATAAGGAAGTGGGGATATACTGCTGTAAGATGTTGGTAGAGCCAGAGTGTATTTCAAAGTTTAGGGAAATTTGCAAATGCTGAGGTTTTCTTGGATTGGGGCCCATTGTCATTAATGGGAATTTTACCCAAGTAGCAGTGAACCTGCAGTTTGGGATGATGCACAGGGACTGTAGTGAAAAGATCATATTTCCTGTCTTGTTTTCTCTTGTGAATGTGAATGTCATGCTCTGACCCATAATTATGGTCAGATCGCCTTAACCTTTAACTTCTGCACCTCCCGACTACTCCTAACTTTTAACTCTGCACCCTCTTTATTGCCTACTTATGTGCATCTATTTGTGTGTTTGTGACGACTTCCACAAGTGCAACTTTTAGCGCTCTAACTTTTCTCCTGGAGAGGATGTACTGTTGAGCTCAGATTGATTGATTGTTTTTCTGTTGTGTTACATATCTGACACATTATACAACCAGACAGGAGCCTGATTGGTGATCATGAGCGTGGTGGCACTTAGACAATTGCTAATAATGTTTTAAAACAGGTGGAAGAAAATACCCAGTGGATTGATTAGCAGAGAGCTTCACAACAGGATTCAAATTAGGTTCAGTCAGTTGTGAAAAATCAGTTTTATATTAAACCAAAAGGGAATTTGGACTTGAAAACTCACCGTAACTTTCAAATGGGTTTTAGTGTGCCAGCAAACTGATCCTTCAAAGTGATTATAAAGGTCACAGACCCTGTCTGTTTTCCCCCTGGAATCTTACTTGCTATTTTAAGAACGGTAGTAATTTTCCTGGTTTAGATCCAATTAAGTTCTCTCCCGTGTATTGTATTAGCATACCTCATTGCCAAATCACCTCCATGTTCCCTTAGCAGTCGTGCTATTTGCCCTGAGGATCCAGATGTAACAACATCAGTGAAGAGTCTTAACAGAAGGAAAACAGGCCAATTTCTGTCATCAGACTCCTGCTTTTTTTGAGGCTGTGGAAGGGGGTTTAAAAACAACTACTGAGTGATTACAGAGATTGTCCTCCCTCGCCAACATGTTCACCTGTGCATTTCTAAAGACCCAGCGACTGCTAACAATGTCACTCCCGGCTCGGGATTGGAAATTTGATATCCTTTCGCGCTCTCCTTTCTTGTTTTGCCTTAATTTTTCTATTTCAAAAGGCACGGGATTTGTTAAAGGGATGCCTGATAAATGAAAATTA